ATTGTTAAAATGTCGTACTTCGAAAACGAATCGAATCAGAAAGTAATAAACAGATATGAAATAGATATAGATAACGATAAATTTAACAGGTCTAGCAAACATGAGCATGGGCGATATCCCATAACTAAAAGATTACCCGAATGGTGCTAACATGCAAGCAAAGCCAACATCAAAAGGTCTAGGATAATCTAATGTAAATTATTTGAACACATTAAAGGTATAACGCGCGACAACATAAAAGAGACAACCTCCTGCAAGAAAAAAAGAATATTAATGTTTAACGAAACAGTGACGACGATAATGCAGCAGAATAGCTGTAGGAGACAACGGATAATTAAAACGGAAAGAAAAAAGTCCAGAAAAGTATGATAAACTGCAGCAATATTGCGAACGAAATCAAAGCCAATTATGCAAAAGATGGCAATAGAACACTTGGTATTTCCTGGGGCAACACACGTTTGTATGTACATTATGTGGGCACGTACATGTGTGATTGTAACCACACAAGTCGTCACTGTGGTAGGCAAAGCATAAATCAGCTAGAGGGCAAGGAAGGACCATATATCAGCTTGAACCTAAAGTGGGTTATACTCTTCATCTTGTAGTTCAGACCATAAGACCATGTTTAAGGACCGTAAGACTTTCATACCATAAGACCAAACTTCGCCACACTACTTGCGGTCCTTCTTCAAGATCCAAGTAACAAACGAATTAATAGGTCATAGATTAGAAATATACAGGCAACGGCATCATTTGTTGTGGTTGCCCATCTCCTTGTACATATTTATGTAAAAAAAAATGGGCCCAATAAAAAAGTAATATACTGACCTGGGAAGTAAAAAGATAATGAAATCTCATTGTAATGATCAAAATGAATCCATAACTCCCATTTCAACCTCGGCCGATTTGTATGCGCACGATCCATCCCGATGTATGCAAAGATGGTCCGAGAAACACAAATCATTAAATTTATGATTTGTAATGTGAAATTGACAGTAAGTATACCCTTCTAACTTGTGATGATGTATCAGAAACAGCTGAATTAAAAGGTGTATTAGTAGTGACTGTTGTAAAATATGTATATCTCTTGCTGGATGTTACTGTATATAAGACAGTAACACTGTGTCCCATAAGAAATAAGCCTATCCGCTGTGTCAGGAATTATTATGGTTTGTTTATGAAGATAATTAGTTTCGTTTGCATGTACAGGCACGTACCAATAAGTTCCAGGCATGCGCCTTCATGAATTCATGAATGCCCGATGGATTTGCACCTTTAAGAATCAT